CTCAAGCTTAGGGTTTAGGGTTTTAGGGTTTAGGGTTTTAGGGTTTAGGGTTTAGGGTTTAGGGTTTAATGGCTAGTAACAGGGAGGAAGTCAGACACACCTGCAGCTATGCCATCGAGACATTTGGGCTTTCAGCTCGCAACGTGCTCGATGTGTCGGTATGACTGAGCCCTGCCTGGTGATCTGCGATGGCCATGGTGCCACCTGCAATGGCCAGAACTCATCGGACATTTTGGTGCAGCAGCAACTTCGATGCTTCATGTTAAAAGGCCTAAACTTCTTAGATGGTGTGTCGCTAAAGCACCACTTGCCTGACGTCCGGAAAGGCACAGTTTCGACGAGCATTTCAACGGTGACATGCTGCGTGCCTTCAATGACATGTCTCTCCTGTTGGCAACTTTGGTGGCAGATTCAGACAATCCAGCGGTTAAGCAAGCAACAGGGACCAGGTGGCACCAAGCGAATCGAAGCTCCTCATGCATACCCTAGGCCCGAAGCTCCAAACCCTAAACCCTCAACCCTCAACCCTCAACCCTAAACCCCCAAACAGGAAGCCTTAAACAGGAAAGCCCAGTGGTACCCTTTTCCTTTGTTGTTCGTTCAAGCCTCCCTTTTGACGTAACCCGCCCAAAAAAGGGTGCTCTTATCATAATGTGGATACTGGGCAGCCAAGTTAAACAGGAACCCTAAACCCTAAACCCTAAACCCTAAACCCTAAACCGCAGCTCTGAGAATGTCAGAGTCTCAAGGCCCAACCCGAGGAGGCCATTGGAAAGGTCAAGCTACAGCAAGAAGCTCTGCAGGCAATCCGGTTTACTTGGGGTTTAGGGTTTAGGGTTTAGGGTTTAGGGTTTAGGGTTTAGGGTTTAGGGTTTTGGGTTTAGGGTTTAGGGTTTGTGGGTTTGGGGGTTGTAAGGTTTGAGGGTTTCAGGGTTTTTGGCAATGACAGGGGTCAGGGTTTCTGGTTTTCCGTCTTTCCGGGCTCGAATTCAGTTTGAATGTCTGACCCAAAGGGTCCATGCACCAAATTGGAATTGCTTGGGTCTAGACAGGTTCGTATAAGGGCCCTAGTATATAATATCGTGGTACATTGAACTTACTTGGAGGTTCATGGTACTTAGTAGCCCAACTATAACTGTCCAAAACAATTAGAACCCTCTTGGGGTACTTAAGGGGCTTAGAAGTGGGCTATAGCTACACCCTAAACCCTAAACCCTAAACCCTAAACCCTAAACCCTAAACCCTAAACCCTAAACCCTAAACCCTAAACCCTTACTAAGTACCCTGAACCTCCAAGAAGGGTGAGGCCTCGGCACAGGCAGCCTTGCTGCACGTGGAAGACTCCTTCGCGAAGGCGCGCTCGACGCTGGCAGGATTCTCAGTAGCTGAATGAGTACACGTTTATTTGTTTAAAACTGTTTGGGAAACGACCCTGAACCTTGAACCCTAAACCCTAAACCCTAAACCCCCTAAACCCTAAACCCTAAACCCTAAACCCTAAACCCTAAACCCTAAACCCTAAACCCTAAACCCTAAACCCTAAACCCTAAATTCCCACCCGGCCTGCTTAGGCCGTACCCACCCTTTTCTAGGGTGCCTGGACCCAGAAGATACCCGGCAGTGATGAACACCTTTACTGGATGGACAATGGGTGGAGCCATTGGAGAATGGTCGAATAGAGAGCCCCCCGGGCTCGCCTCGCCCATGGCCAGCTGTCGCTGGGCCACCCAGCCACAGGAGTACTCAGATACTCCCCTTGATGGGAATACCCTAAACCCTCGGCTCAAAGCCCTAGAACGTCGCCGCCCGGGAGGCCCCCTAGGAACCTTCCCGGGACCCTCTGGTCGTTGGCCCGAAAATCCTGAAATCTGGGGTCTGCCAGGGGGGTACCCCCCCAGAGCCCAAAAAAGGGTTTTTTGCCTGTGCCTCCGGCCACCGCCCCTGTGGCCCCCCCGTGGCCCCCCCCTGGCCCCCCCCTGGGCCCCCCCCCTGGCCCCCCCTGGCCCCGCCGTCCCCCCTCCTGGCTCCCCCTGACCCCCCCTCTGGGCCCGGCCACCCTGGCCCTTCTCTGGGCTGGCCGCCCCTGGCCCCGCTGGCCCTGACCCCCTGGCCCCTGGCCGCTCTGGCCCTCCCTGGCCCCACCCCCTCCCGCCCCCCCCCCCCACAAATGTTGAGATTTGAATCGTTTTATTTGGTGGGAATTGAGGGCGACAGCCCTAAACCCTAAAAGGTAGTGGTTTGGGTGGTGGCCTGTGAAAGCTCACAGCGGGTGGGGAGAAAGAACCCAGCACCAATGAAATTGTTGGATTACATTGAAAACAGATGCCTTCGCGTGACATGCCGCCCCCCCCACACCCCCTGGGTGTGTAGGGGCGCCATTTACACATGGTACTTACTGCCGCTGCGCGGCGAGACGCCCTAAACCCTAAACCCTAAACCCTAAACCCTAAACCGCCCGCTTTCCTGGGGCTTATGAACTCAGCAGCTAAGGATTGAAGGGCCAGTTCGTGAGCACCTCGCCGAGCCAAGAGCAGGCTCTCTCCTGCAGGGGTAGGTTTGAACCTACGTTTAGGGTTTAGGGTTTAGGGTTTAGGGTTTAGGGTTTAGGGTTTAGGATTTAGGGTTTAGGGTTTAGGGTTTAGGGTTTAGGGTTTAGAGGTTTTTCTATGTTTATTGCCCTTAATTCCCTAGATAATCCATATAAAGCCATCAACATTTAGCCTTTAGAGGCCCCGGTGCTTTTGAAGGCCCCCCATAAACCCTGAGCCCTAAGCCCCACTTGGAGGTTCATGGGCACTCAGAGAAGTAGGGTTCTAAAAGAGCCGTGCCCAGAGGTGCCTGAACCGTATCTTAGGCAGTTGATTCTTAAGGCCCCGGGCAACCCTAAACCCTAAACCCTAAACCCTAAACCCTAAACCCTAAACCCTAAACCCTAAACCCTAAACCTAGGTTTAGTGCTTCAAGGGCTAGAGAGGGAACCCTAAGCCCCAGGGATTTTTAGGGTTTTTTGTTGTGATGCAGTTTCGCGTGGGGGAAGCCAGTTGCCCCTGTCTGTGGAGGGTTTAGGGTTTAGGGCTAAAGGCGAGCTAGATTGAGTTGACCTCGTCTTGAGCAGGGTTTTCGGATCAACCTCCTGAGGCTTGTCTCCATAGTGATCATTTCGAGGAAGGTGGGGGCAGCCACTACTGATTTCTTCGTTTGTTGGATGCATCAGTCACGGTTTGTATTTGCGCGCGTCCGTACTTCTTCTTATCTCCAGCTGTGTTCAGCAGAGCTCCGCGGAATTGGATGTTGCTTAACAATGTTCCGTTCGCCCGTCTTTCTTCTCTCAATGGCGGGTAGTGGCTAGCTCTTGAGGTTCGAGATCTCTATTTTCGGGTTTGCAAAACCCTAAACCCGAAACCCTAAACCCGAAACCCTAAACCCTAAACCTTAAACAACCCTAAACCCTAAACCCTAAACCCTCAACCCCAAAGCCTAAAGAGATGCAATGCGGAGGTGGTCATCGAGCAGTCGTTTCCAGAGTCCGACGACAAGCTGGAGAAGGCTGGGGGGGGGTGATTATTACCCTAAACCCTAAACCCTAAACCCTAACCTAAACCCTAAACCCTAAACCCTAAACCCTAAACCCTAAACCCTAAACCCTAAACCCTAAACCCTAAACCCTAAACCCTAAACCCTAACCCAAAACCCCCATCTTTCCGCAGGGACCCCACGCCTAGGTCGCTGTGGGTTCTAAAGACCCTAAACCCTAAACCCTAAATTTTAGAGCTGCGCCAACTGCGCCAGTGAAGTTGGCGTGCCTTTGGTTTGTCCCGAATTCTTTCTCATCTGATATTTCTTCAGTTTAAACTGCAAAGTAAAAGAAAATCGCCAGCAGCTCAGAGCTTTCGGTTGTGCCTCAGAGAAAGAGAAATGGGAGAGAAAGAGAGAAGGCAAAGCCAGAGAACTGAAGAAAGATCTGAAGCAGAACTGAAACAAGCCGAAAAGGAGCCGAGCGACGACCGAGAGAGGAAGCTAAGAGACAACACTCAAAGAGATAGCAGAGAGAAACACGAGAGAGAATCCAGAACAAAAAAAGCGTCTAAGCGCAAGTAAATAATGTACATGATTTAGATTCTTTGTTTTTTTGTTTTTTTCTCTCGCAGTTTGCATGTTGTTCAGTTTTTTTGGGGGGGAGCAGGTGGGAAGGGGGGCATCTGGGAGGGGGGTCATCTGGAAGGGAGGCATCTGGGAAGGGGCATCTGGGACGGGGGCATCTAGCCTCAATAAAGCAATGTAAATGTTTTAGATCATTTTTCCCAATTTGGTGGCCCCGAAACCGAAAGGAGCTGCAAGTTGAATAAGTTAAGTCACTTATCTTGTGTAGCTTCCAGCTGCTTTTGGTTTCGGCACCACCAAAAAATTTATTAGGGACACTGTTTGCAGTGGGGAGGGGAGTGGGAGGGGGGGAGGGGTGGGGTATTAACGCTATAAATCCCATTTGAAACGATCTAAAAGTTGAAGGACAACCCGACATGACATCTACGGCAGAGCCGCCACGAGGCGATAGCCTAGGGACGCTGTTATCAAAAGACACTTCTCCAATGCTCTAGGCGCCAACTTCACTGGCGAACCCTAAACCCTAAACCCTAAACCCTAAGCCCTAAACCCTCTTAAAAGGTCGGCTCTGAAGGTTGTTGCGATTCACAGCCCTACACATCTTGGCCGGAAGTCGGGATGTAGATTGGGATGTTTTCCCCTTACACCTACACACTTACACAAACAGTCCTTAACAGGTTCTCTAACAGGGAGGGTTGAGGTTTAGGGGTTTAGGGTTAGGGTTTCGGGTTTGGGGTTGACTGTTTAAAGCCCTAAACCCTAAACCCTAAACCCTAAACCCTAAACCCTAAACCCTGAACCCTGAACCCTAAACCCTAAACCCGAAACCCGAAGCTTAGGGCGTAGGGCTTCGAAAGGGCGAGACCGAAGCTTCCCCGTCTTCCCCGCCGCCACATCCCATGGTGGCGCACGTCTCGGCAACTCAGCTGGGGAGAGCAGTGAGGGGTTTAGGGTTTAGGGTTTAGGGTTTAGGGTTTGGGGTTTAGGGTTTAGGGTTTAGGGTGGTAACCCAACTAGAACTGTACTTATAACCCAGTTTTCGCCTTGCCAGGGTACTTGAGGGACTCACAAGTGGGAGTTGGGCTATGAGTACCCTGAACCTCCAAGTGGAGATTCGTAACCCAATCAGAACTGCACGTGTAACCCAATTCGAGCCCTGTTAGGGTATTGAAAAAGGGCTTATGAAAACATGTATTGTTGGGTTACTGAGTACCCTGAACCTCCAAGTTGGGACGTTCGGAGTTGCTCTTGAACCCTAGTATAGGGTTTAGGGTTTAGGGTTTAGGGTTTAGGGTTTAGGGTTTAGGGTTTAGGGTTTAGGGTTAGGCCCTTGTTCACTTTTGTTTAGGGCTTAGGTTCCCTCAGCCTCAGAAGTAGAGGTGCACAGGATGGGCGAATGGACATTTGGGGTAGGACATTCCCGAAATCCCATTAAGGGTAACCTAGGATACTGGACAACGAACCCTAAGGGTCCATGTACCTTATTATTCTGTACTTGGGTCTTAAAGTCCCTAAATAGGAGGTACTTTAAGGCCCAAGTATTCCTTATTTAGGTACATGGACCCTTAGGGGAAGATGCTTTGCACAGCGAAGGAAAGCAACAAAGCCCAGGAGGCAGATCGCTCGCCAACCGTTTTTCGGACAGCGGCTCAGCCGAGCTCCTTGGCAGTCTAGTGGTTCCAAACCCTAAACCCTAAACCCTAAACCCTAAACCCTATAAACCCTAAACCCTAAACCTTTTGCCTTTCTTGTGTTTCCCGTTTAACGTCTAAAGAAGCCAATCCGCAAAAGGACATGGTCAGTTCTCTAAGTCCTGGTCCCTTTTTGGATACCCCAGTATACTAAGGACTCCAAAGGAACCATAATCTAGAGAACTCACCATATGGATACTGCCAAGGCTTCAGGAAGCAGGCAACAAGCAACGCCTTGCGTAGCCAAATCCGCAGCGCAACCACCGACACGCCAGCCTGGTCTGAAGGCATATTGCCGTTCCTTCATAGAGTTTCTTAGGGCTACTTGGAAACATTTTTTAGTTTTTGGCAACTATCATCCCTTAGGAACAGCTAAGATTACAATTTTTGCTAGGGTGCCAAGTTCAGTATAGGTTTCTGCTCGCATTGTGAGTAGCTTTGCCTTCGAGCTGTATATTCTTGCAGCAATTGTCCTCAACTCGGTCATCATCGGGATTGAAAGCGAGCTGACCCTTCGGGGCGAGGAGCTTCCATGGGCAGCTGATGTGGAAATCGTTCTTCTTGCCATCTATACCATGGAGATCATATTGAGGGTGCTCGCTGGAGGGTTGAAGATCTTCTATGAAGGCTGGTTTCTGTTCGACCTTTGCCTGGTCTTCTTCTCCTACATCGAACGGATCGTTGCCAGCTTTGCCGGTGAAGCGCAGCAGCAGATCATGGTCTTGCGCTTGCTGCGCCTCTTTCGCCTCATCCGCTCCTTTCGCATGATCAAGCAGATTAAGCCCCTGTGGCGCCTGGTGCATGGACTCATGGCTTCGATGGACACGGTGGTTTCCACGCTGATGCTGCTCCTGCTGCTTGGTGAGATCATGGTTGCTACACGTTCCCTAGCCCCTGCACCGATAAGCCCATGGACGTGGGCACTGAAGGCTGCTGCTCTCAACCACGAGACCCTAAACCCTGTGCATCCTAAACCCGAAACCTCAAGACAAGGTACATGGAAGTTGCACGTGATATCAGTCTCAAATTGAATGCGCAAAAAAGAAAGCGCTGCTTTGGCCAAACAAGCTGGCACCGCACAAAGCCCTGTCCGCCAAGCAAAGCTCCAAAAACCGAGCTCAAGTAACTTGTGGGCTTAGGGTGTAGGATTTAGGGTGTAGGGTTTAGGGCTTAGGGTTGGGAAGCCAAGATTCAATCTACTTCAACCTCTTTATGACAAAGCTGTTTGTCTAATCAAGCCAGCACTACACAAAGATCCGCTTCCAAAGAAGCTCCACAACTTACAGTAGCTGAGTATGCTTTACACTTTTTTGGACACTATAACCCCCTCTTGAACTGAAAGTGTAGACTTTTGGGGGGTTATGAACTCAGGAACTGAGACAAACGAAGGCAGGTGATGTGGCGAAAGGCCTGGAGGCTCCAAACGGGACGGAAGGCCCCAAAAGGTCCCAAAATCCCGAGAACCCCTGAACCTGAACCATAAACCCTTAATCCTAAGCCCTAAGCCCTAGACCCTTAACCCCCTGAACCCTAAACCTTACCAGAAAGGTCCAAAGATTAAAGCCCTGAGAGGTCCCAAAACCCTCAGAAGGCCCTTTCACCCAAAAAGGAAACTTTGGGCAATACCCCGGACACGAACCCTAAAGCCATGTTCCTAAACTCGAAACCCTAAACCCTAAACCCTAAACCCTAAACCCGAAACCCTAAACCCTAAACCCTAAACCCTAAACCCTAACCCCAGGCTGGTCCTTTATGTCTTTGGCGTCTTGGGCCTTGAGCTGATTGCGACGAATCCTCAGTTCCAATCGGATCCAGATGCGAACCCTGGATGCCCTCAGTGGTTAGGGTTTAGGGTTTAGGGTTTAGGGTTTAGGGTTTAGGGTTCAGGGTTCAGGGTTCAGGGTTCAGGGTTCAGGGTTCAGGGTTCAGGCTTTCGGGTTAGGGTTTAGGATTCAGTGTTTAGGGGGGCTTAAGCTCGTACCAGCTTTTCCGTCTTTTTTCCCGTTTGTTGTTTTGTCTTTAGGTGTACGATCCCGGCAACCGCCTTGAGACAACAAGGTGCACTCTTCTAAGCCCAAGCTTACGGGTTTGGGGTTCTGGGTTTTTTTTAAATGCACTCTTAAGCCCAAGCTTACGGGTTTTGGGGTTCTGGTGTTTTTTTATACTGGGCAGCCGAGGAACGAAGTTCTTCGCGAGCACTTCAGCTCTCTAGGCATCGCTATGATCACTCTCACTCAGTTCATTACCATGGACTCGATCTCCGCCGTCTACTTCCCGCTCATCAAGCTACAGCCCGTGGTGTTCCTCTATTTTGCCATTCTGATCCTCATTGTCTCGATCTCAGTCCCGTGCTGAGTTGTCCAAGAACACTGCCGGCCGCGAGCAGTAGACCCGTAATGATGTATAATAGAAGTTAGAAGTTATACATCAACGCAGAGAAAGCTCCCCAAATTGCACACTTTGCCCAAAAGCTCTTGGGATGCTTGTTTTGTTTTTGTGTGGTTCAGCCCAAGGCCCTTACCCTAGATGGTTTTTGTGCTGTTTGGAGCCGAACCCTACACCCTAACACAGAGCCCTAAACCCTAAACCCTAAACCCGCAAAGGTCATGAACCTCGTAACGGCAGCGCTGGTCGAAGGGTCCTTGGAACATGCGAGGGCACTTCGAAGGGAGGAAGAGAAGTTAAGGCGCCTTTTTTTTTGCACATCCTGGGGGTCTTGCTAAGGACCCTGAGGCAAGTTATCAAACTCAGTGCACAGTATTACTTGTCACTATACATCGCTCACTAGGTTCAACTTCTTAGCAGGAGCCCATCAGACATCTCCACGGCATTCCCAGCCCACGCGTTGCGCGCACAGCCTCCTTCAGTGTATGTTCGCCTTGTGCCTGTTGCTATCCCTAAACCCAAAAAAAAACCCTAAACCCTCAACCCTAAACCCTAAACGCAGGAGCGCCAACGCGAAAAATCTCCTGCCAGAGATCCTCGCGCTTTTCGACTTAGCAGATGCAGATGGGAGCGGCGAGATCGCCATCGAGGAGATTTGGATCTTAGCCATCCCCAGATGTCCTGAGGGGTTTAGGGTTTAGGGTTTAGGTTTAGGGTTTAGGGTTTAGGGTTAGGGTAGAATCCCTTTGTTAAGGTATTGGTCCCTGTAAGTTGTCCACAGGAGATGCGCGAGTTCGAGAAAAAGGGTCAGATCCCAGACGACTTTTTAGATCAAGCATCTGTCGGCAGCATGACGGAGTTGTTCAACGTCTTGGATACTTGGCTTCAAGTTGATTTCGCATTGATGAAGGATGAAGTCGTGGTTCATCGGCGCCCTGCGGGAAGGGTTTAGGGTTTAGGGTTTACTTGGAGGTTCAGGGTACTTTTAAACCAACTATAAGTGTAGTTATACCCCACTTATAAGCCCCTTAAGTGCCCTAATCGGTACAGTTTCAAATGGGTTACGAAGTACCCTGAGCCTCTGTGTAGGGCTCAGGGGTGCGAGCCCGGGTTTCCTTGCGCGCTCACCAGCTGTTTTGTTGAGTACCCTAAACCCTAAACCCTAAACCCTAAACCCTAAACCCTAAACCCTAAACCCTAAACCCTAAACCCTAAACCCTAAACCCTAAACCCTAAACCCTAAACCCTAAACGACACGTCGATGTGACAGCTGCTGGTCCGAGCAAGTGTCCTTCTTTTCCTGACCTTCCTGGTCTTCTTGGCTACTAGGAGGCCCTTATACATTTTGCATTATCCTTTTTTGGGGGTTTAGGAGGATCATATTCAGGAATATTTTTGAGAGGTTCTCAATGCAAGGGCCATCCTAGACTGTTTCAAGTTCGGCCTTCTCGGTCTGCACGTCCAAACGGTGGTGTGGACTCCACAAGTCTTGCATCGGTTCTTCTGTTTTTGTCTTGCTCTCGTGCTTGCCTACAGGCTTACGGATTGCAAGGGCTCCCCTAAACCCTAAACCTAAACCCTAAACCCTAAACCCTAAACCCTAAACCCTAAACCCTAAACCCTACTTCAGCCGGCTCAGGACGTTGACAAATCCGGGGTGGTGACGCGCGAAGAGTTTGTGGAAGGGCTCATGGACATCTTGCTGCGTGATGTGTCGATCCCGCAAATGCAACAGCTCAAGATGTTGCGGCTGATGAGGGACTCAATGACCGAGCTAGAAGGAAGCTAGCTTGTCATCTGGCATTTTTTGGTTCCGATTCTTGTCGAACACCAACCGATGGCAGAGTTCAACGTCGGTCTGTTCTATCCTAGATCCTGAAAACCCCTGAACCGGAAATTCCCTGAGCCCTAAACCCTAAACCCCTTCCCATCTGCTCTTCCCGCGCGTCAAGAGAAGTTCTTCCATTCTGACCCTAAACCCTAAACCTAAACCCTAAACCCTAAACCTAAACCCTAAACCCTAAACCCTAAACCCTAAACCCTTGACTCCCAGGCAAGATGAATCATCTCGAACAGCACTCGGCTGTTCTTTGAGGCATCCAGCATTCTAAGGTTGGGAACATGGGCCCTTCCTGTGGCCCCCCTTACCCTTCTTTCTGGCGATCCGAAGTACGGACTCTTATTATAAGTAGCTACTATATGCGGTGTAGGTAAGGATCATATGATAAAACAAGGGGCCCAAATTAGGGGCCCAGACTTGGAACCCAAGAAGCATGGACAAGTTTGGACCAATGTCACGGCTGGCTGAAGTGTGAAGTTTCACCGACGTTGGACGTCAATCGACAAGCTCGATTCGACCTCGAAATCATCGATACTCTAGGGGTCGGAATAGTTACTACTAGCATTCCCTTATGATCCTCTTATACTTATACTATCATAACACCCCCCCCCCCCCCAAAAAAAAAAAAAAAAAAACACACACACACACACATATTCTAGATATTAAGCCGGTTTAGCTTTCCTCTCAAAATTTCGAAGGCTCGCGGGTCTGGCCGGACCTGCATCCAGTCAATCGTTGGATGGACTGAAAAAGCACCGGAAGGGTCACATGCAGCAGCCAGGGCCAGCAGTGAAGGCACCAAGGAACTAGGGTTTAGGGTTTAGGGTTGAGGGTTTGGGGTTTAGGGTTTAAGGTTTAGGTCGAGTTCTTGATTGGGTGTCTTGAATTCTCTGGCTGTCGCATTGCCGAAACCCCGAGAAAATCGAGGGCGGCGGAGGGCCTTTCATGCATGCCTTCGGATCTCGGATTCCTTCCTTGTTGCTCCTGATGCGACGAAAATTACATGATGACATCTTCTCACGCATTGATCGAGGAGGGGTTGGAAGCAAAGGATGACATTCAGCATCTGCAGCGAAGATCCTATGCTTTGAGAAGCGTGATAAATCATGAGCAGCAACCTGTAAACCACATCACGCAACGCTGAGACAATGCAAAGGAACACACCTTTCATTTATAAAGCGAAACCTCGAAAGCCGATCGCGACGCTTGCGCACACATTTCCCACAACAATTGTATTACCCTTAATCCCCTATATCCCCATAAAAGGCTACGGGCTCGACCCCTATTTTCGCTCTGCGGCCGCCCCGTCGGATGCCCCGCCTCCTCTTCCGGTCCATTTGGCTGCTTGTGAGGGCCTTGCAGGGGGATCCTGAAAACTCCGGGAATTTTAACACTTTTTGTCTAAAAATCCTGGGAATTTTGGGAATCACCCGGAGCTGAAAATTCCCGGAATTTTAGGAATTGTCCGGATTGAGGTTTGGGCTTGCCGGGTTGGATTTAAGGTTCCAGCGCAACAGTGATGACGTGGGTGCCCCTTCACCTTCAAGGAAATCTTCAAGGAAATCTCTTGGTCCAGGGTAGTTCCGATGACGGTCGCCGTCCGCCAGCTGTTCAAGGGGGTTCGGCCTCACGCTCACATATCAGCAACAGCTCTCGAAAAATCCTAGGAATTTAAATTCCGGGAATTTTCGGGATCCCCCGGGTTCAGGGTTTTACGCTTTACGGTGTAGGGTTTTGGGGTTTAATAGAAATTGTATAGGGTTTGTGTCCGGAGTTTTGTCGTATTTTGCGGGGGTTTTGTTTTTTGCTTTTGCTGTAATGGTTTGGGTTCTGTCGGGTGTGGTGGGTGCTGAGGGGTTGGGGCTGAAAGGCTGGGGTTTTGGGGGGTTTTCCCGAATGCCCGTGGTGGTGGTCCCGTGGTGTTCGTCGTGGTGGTCCCACAGCGTGGTGGTGGTCCCGTGGTGGTGGTGCTCCTTTGGTAGTGGTCTGTCGTGGTGGTGGCGGTGTCGTGGTGGTGGTGTTGGTCTCTTGTGGCCATCGTGGTGGTCCCGTGGTGGTGGTCCCATGGTGGTGGCCGGGTGGCGGTGGTCCGTGGCGGTGGTCCGCGGTGGTGGTCTCGTGGTGGTGGTCTCGTGGTGGTGGTTCCGTGGTGGTGGACTTGTGGTGGTTGTCTCGTGGTGGTGGTCCCGTGGTGGTGGTCCCGTGGTGGTGGTCCCGTGGTGGTGGTCCGTGGGGTTGGTCCGTGGTGGTGGTCCGTGGCGGGGGTCCGTGCGGGTGGTTGTGTTGGTGGTCGTGGTGGTGGTCTCGTGGTGGTGGTCTTGTGGTGGTGGTCTCGTGGTGGTGGTCTTGTGGTGGTGGTCTCGTGGTGGTGGTCTCGTGGTGGTGGTCCGTGGTTTG